TGGAACCTAATGGATCTAGATTCAAATCCTGGTTATTCCTTGTACTTGGTCTATATGTGTGAGATCTTGGGCAAGTTACTTAACAGACCTTCCATTAACTCATAGGAAAGATGGGGTAAAATAGATCCTCACACGTTGTAAAGATTAATGTAGAAAATTACGTGAATGTGCCTATCACTGTGGTTGCAGGTTTTTCCTTCTTCAATTTGTACTCTGGTGTAGATCAATCAAAAAATGGAAGATTATTCATCAAAAGTTCAGGAAAGGAGAACCATTTCCTGGAGGTATCATCACAAATATGTATATTGTTTACTGCCTAGGGGAAAGTGTTCTCATGTATGATACAAGAAGGGCTTGCATGGGGTGGTGGTGGGCTAGTCTGTACTACTGACCCCACAGTAGGACAGCTGAGCAGGGGATATTAAGCTAGTCCTTTTTTCCTCTTAAGAAGCAGAAGCATAAAAGACACCAGAGGGAAGGCCTCTTCTCCTTCACCCCATAAAAGGAATTTAAGTCCAAGGAATAGAGCTTAACACCCAAGAAACCATTGAACACATGAACTGCGTCATGGGCTAAGGTGCCCTTCAGTAACCAAGAGCATGGTTATTTTCCTAGCATCCAGAAATAACTGGCACTTCAATTATTTTTACAGAAGGCATATTTTTCTCCCTGTGTTATTTGTAGCTATTTAAATCAAAATACACGATCTCACAGAACTACCAAATTCTACATTTCATTTTTGAAAAGGTAAATGAATCTAGATGAATGAGTACAGAAATATACTCACAGAAGTTTCTGTGAAATACGGTGCATTGTCATTTTCATCCGCAAGTGAAATGGTAATTGTTCCTGTATTAAATAAACCAAAAGGTTGGCCCCCCATGTCTCGTACTTCCATTATTAGCTGGTAGGTATCACATTTCTGAAAAAAAAGGGAAAAGGTATATTTGAGGAACACTTCTGTTTTCTATAACTTGCAATTCTCATAGCCACTACTTAGACTGTGATTATTTTACAAATATTCACATATATATATATACATGTATACACATATATTTAAAAAACCATAGATACAAGTACAGAACAAGAGATTGGCCAATCAGTACAGTGAAAAGCAGATATGTCTAATACAACATTTCAAAATTTAAAGCTGCTTTATTTATAATTGCCCAAACTTGAAAGCAACCAAGATGTCCTTCAGTAGGCAAATGGAGAAATAAACTGGTAAATCCAGACAATGAAATATTATTCAGTGCTAAAAAGAAATGAGCTATCAAGCCATGGAAAGACATGGAAGGAATTTAAATGCGTATTGTTCAGTGAAAGAAACCAATCTGAAAAAGCTGCATATTGTATGATTCCAACTATATGACATTCTAGAAAGCAAAACTATGGAGACAGGAAAAAGATCAGTAGCTTCCAAGAGTTAGAGAGGAAGAAGGGATGACTAGGTAGAGCACAGAGGATTTTTAGGGCAGTGAAACTATTCTGTATGATACTATAATGGTGGGTACATGTCATTATACATTTTTGCAAACCCACAGAATGTACAGTACCAAGAGTGAACCCTAACATAAAATACGTAAACTACGGACTTTGGGTGGTGATGAAGTGTCAATGTAAGGTCATCAAGTGTAACAAATGTACCACTGTGGTGCAGGATGTTGCTAGTAAGGGAGGCTGTGGGTGTTGGGGGACAGGGGGTGTATGGGAACTGTCTGTACTTTCCACTCAATTTTGCCATGAACCCAAAACTACTCCAACAAAATTTATTAGTTTTTAAAAAATTACACATATTGGAGTCGAATAAATGTATTTTTTATAGAACAAAAATAAAATAAATGTAAAGCAATTTTAGCATCAACAGATCAAATCAGGTCATTGAACTCAAGTGTGACCTTGTCTAATACCTTGTACTTTCCCCACATCTCTGTAGGGACAAAGGAAGTCTCCAGAGAAGCCCTAACCACGACATACAGAAGCATACTTAGAGAAGAGGCCACAGTGGCCATGTTGTAACTTATCTTGGGAGTTCGTTCTCAGTTTAAATATAGTTTAAAGACTGGAAAATTAATTAATGAATTTTTTACTTCTCTATCCAGGAAAGGTGTAGCTGTGGTGATGACACCTGTATCTGGATGTATGGAGAAATGCTTTGGATGATCTGGGATTTGCTGCAAGATTTTATATTTCAGGCGAGTATGTAGAGTGTCAGGTTCATCGAGGTCTATGGCAGTCACTTGTCCAACTGAAGTTCCTGTTTAGAT